GCCAGGACTAGGTGTACATGAAAATAAAGGAGCTGCGGCAGGCCTATGCAAGGGCCAGAGGGGGCAGCTCCCAATCAGGGGCAGACCCAGATCCCTGCCCCTATTTTGATGCCATGGACAACATCCTGGGGGACTGGACGGTCCGTGCCCCCCAGGTGGTCATCGACCCTGGGGCAGAGAGCCTTGCCTATGAGACTGAAGAGGAGGAAGAGGAGGGCCAGGAGCCACAGGAGCCTGGAGGGAGTGTGCCGTGCACCCAGGACACCCAAGCCATCCCAGACAGCCTGGCTGGGGAAGCAATGACATGTGAGTGCCATCACTATCCCCTTATGCAGCGGGCGTGGGGGAGGGCGGGGAGAAGGGGAAGGAGGGGCGGAGAGGGAGACCATGGATCACGCAGCAACCTGTGCATGTGCCATGCCACCCCTGGGAACGTGGCTCCAGCTGGTTGCCACACAGGGGCCTTGGCCTGTTACCCACCACGCGTGTATGTATGAAGGCACATGACATGCTCCTGACCCCGGGGTGGGACACTGCACGATGCCCTCCCTCCACAAGCCCCCTCTACACAGAGGCAGGGGATATCTCTCCTCCCCCCGCCCCCGCACTGTATACAGCACAGGGGCATGGGTGCAGTCCCAGGCCAGCTCCCACTCCTGGGGATAGCAGGACATGCCGAACATGGCCTGTGTGCAAGCACATTGGCTCTGATGGTGTGGAGACCTGCCATCCTCGCCTTGCAGAGGGGGGCTGAGCTTCACCCACTGTGTCCCCAGGGATAATTGACCACTTCTCTTGTTTCTCCACAGCCACACCGCTGCGAGTGCAGGATGCACCATCTTGCCCAGAACATCCTTCCGCACACGGGCCAGCAGGCTGACCTGTAACCAGGAGGAGTACCAGTGGCAGCACCTGGGGATCCTGTGAGGCCAGCACCACATCCTGGACTACTGGATGAATGAAGACATGCAGCTGTGGTGGGAGAGCTGGCGGGAGCTGCTTGACCAGAGTCGTGCCATCTCTGACCACCTGCAGACCCTGGTGCAGAGATTGCTGCCTCCTGCCACTCCAGCCCCTTCTGCCACCCCAGCTACCACTCCTCCTCCCACTCCGCCCCCTACCTGCCCCACCCTCCATACCCCGCTCCCCCCTGGGGACGCTGAGGCCCCCGCACCCACAG